GTGGCAACCTCAGGAACCTGTTCCACTGCTGATCGTCTTCACAGACAGAAAGAAAGAAAGAGAATCGGGACGTCTAAAATTGGGAACTCATGTAGCCCTCCCCAGCCCGCTGTGGGACCAACCCAGCTGTCTTACAAATTTAGAGACAACTTTCTAGTTTATTGCAGTGAAGGGAAGGGACACTCATTTGCACATAACCAAACGTCTCTTTGCTGTGAGTTAGGCCCATATTCAAAGGAGATAAAGACCTATTCGTAATAATATACAACATTATGTTCTTAGAAGGGGGTATTAATACATAAGGGATTGGTTTGTGCTTGTATTTTTATGTATACCCACCATCCAAACTGAAGCAAAAAGAAATATTAGATTAATCAAAAAATTATTTGTAGATATATATGAGGACAAAGATCATGACCCTATGGCTCCCAGCCATCTCTCTACGTGTGTCTTATATCACAGTGCAATTTGAGGTTGAACAGATTTAGTTCTGAGATATATCAAAAACAAACAAGCAAAAAGAAATCACCTTTTTATCTTCATTGCTCAATGGGCTTCAGGAACAGTTGGTCTCAGCAAAAAAACACTCTTTTCTGAATACATCTGAGAACCCAAAATACAAATTTATATATATATATTAAAGTCCATCTAAAGAACACATCAGTTTAGGATATTTATTGGGGGAGAGGGCACAAGAAACCATAGAACCCTATCAGCACTTGAATTAATTGAAAGTAAATTTCCCCTCCCAGAACTAAACAAATGAGGAGCTTTTTGTATGATAACACTCACACCCTCCTGTAATAGGTTGCTAAGATTCCACTAATTAAAAAAAATCTCATTTGAAGATAGTTAATGGTTTCTGCATTTCTACAAAGCACTAGTCAGACTACATATCCCTGAACTTCAGGGTCTGTACTGATTACTACTCAATTAGTTTTGATTCAATTCACTGAAGAAAAATGTCCATTTCATTAGTGTGGAGAAATAACCATCGGACACAAAATATATTTCCTGGCATTGCCATGGCAACCGGGATGACACAGCTGAGCTCAGAATGTTAATGCTTTCCCTGGGACTGTGTTTTTAAGTCAGAGCATGGCCATTAAGCCTTGCTGGGTGGGGGCGGCTGATGCCACATCGCTGCTGGGATTGGCAGGCAGAAGAGTCCAGGAGACCCCCAAGAAGGCTCCCTTCCTGTCATTCACCTTTGCTGCCACTCCCTGGAGGGCTGGGCATATCAGCAGCCCCATCAACTGCTGCTTTGCAGGCCCCGAGAGCCCGGCTCTGTGTGACATGCAAAAGTCGAGCTGGAAAGTGGAAACTGTGATCCATCATCCAGATGTGTTTTTCTGTGTCGACTGTTTTGTAGATGCGTGTGACTGTGGGTGATAGTCTGACTTTTGAGCTCTTCATTAATACATTCCAGCCAGCCTGAGTTGGTCCACAGGGACAGAGTGAGGTGAGGAGCTGGAAAGTTCTCCCTGCAATTCAGTAAATATGGCAGTCAACTTGGAGAACTCTGCCCCCTTAAGGGTTAGTTCTTTCGCACACTCCCCAGGCCTATGTAAGCTAAGGATGAAAAAACAGATTCTAGATTACTTCATTAAAGCAAATGGATCTGCTTTTTGGGGATGGGGGCAAAAGGACCAATACCAGTCTTCACGAATGATAGATGTGGCTCTTCTTATTTAAGGGTTAATTAGGCAGATAACCAAATTAGACCACAACAAAAATTCCATTTGGGAGACTGAATTTTCCAGGTTAAATGGATAATTGCCCATGTTGTCCCTTAAGCTATGTCAGCATAATCTTAGACTATCAACTAACAATTAATTGCTGTGTACTATGTTCAGGGCTCCAAGCCTTAGGATACACCGATTAAAGATGAGAATCCATACCCTCAAAGACCAGGTTAGTACTGACTATGTGCCTGGTAGTGCACTAAGAGCTTTATAGGCATGACTTTATTTATTTATTTATTTTTAAAGATTTTATTTATTTATTTGACAGAGAGACACAGCGCAAGAGGGAACACAAGCAGGGGGAGTGGGAGAGGGGGAAGAAGGCTTCCCGCCGAGCAGGGAGCCTGATGTGGGGCTCAATCCCAGGACCCTGAGATTATGACCTGAGCCGAAGGCAGATGCTTAACCAACTGAGCCACCCAGGCACCCCTAGGCATGATTTTATTTAATCCTCATACTGGCACTATGAGGAAAACGTTAGCCCCATTTTACAGTCAAGAGCTCTAAGGTTCAAAAAGGTAACTGACTAGTCAATTACTAGTTTAATTATAGCATGCAATTAGTGGAACCGGATTCAAAAACAAGTCTGTCTGTGTTAGAACCACAACGCACACTGCCTTTCAGGTACACATGAATAGCCAAGTGGTAAATGTTTAGTGCCCAGTGAATGTTACAGCAGGAAATACCTGATTTATAAGGAAAGCAGCAAAGTCCTATTGAATTTAATTAATTTAACTTCCTTTTAAAATTTCACTTCAAAGGAATGAGCAAAACCAGAGCGTCACATCTTCTCCATTTAACCAGATGTTGTACACATCGCCCTCCCCGTCCTTTTGCAGACCGCTCGTGTGAGAGCTGCCAGAAGGCAAGGCCGAGGCGCTCATTCTCTCACAAGAGCAAGCTCACAGTCAATTATCTCATTGTCAGAGTCTCCGTGCCCCTGCCCCTCTCCACCCCCTTGGGATCCTGTGAATCTGAGCTTCTTTATTTTGAATCATCATCATGTCACCATCAAAAATATTTATTAAGCCTCTACATACATATTGTTCTGGTCATCCCATCTGTTTTTGCTCTCATGGCATATATGTAATTTCCACTCTATCTTTTTGAATTTGCTTGACGTGATTTTATGTCATCTTCATACATCATCGAGTAGAGATTCAAGACACCCAGAACTCAGAATGGGTCCGCAGCCTTCTCTTTGCTTAGCTGTAGCAATGACGCTGGGTCTTGGTGCAGGAGATCTTGGATCAGGGACCTACAGAATGGCTGCCTCTTCCAAATACAATCCAGAGCAGAATGAGTTGACATATATAGTAGCTTATAATCTAAAATCATACCACAGATAAAACAAGCAATGGGTTCACATACCACTCTACAGATTGGCTTTGTTGCTGGAGCAGCATTGGTCAAAATGCGTCCTCAGAAAACCTAGTCCCTTGGAATGTTAAAGTATATTAATAGAAAAAAAGGGGAGGCAATGTTCTGTGGTCAATTATGTTTAGGAGACACTGCGTTAAACAAAGTTAATCAGGTTTCTTCACTACAAGGGTTCTGCGCTGTTAATATGCTAATGCACTGCCTGACTCTCCAAGAGAGGAGAATGGGAGGAAGCATTACCCACAGAACCATTTTTATCCTGGAGCACTGAGGGACTAGTGTTTTGCAAGCTCTGGAAAAAACAGAGTAGGGGTCAATCTAGGAGCCTAATCTGTGTACCTACCTGAGGAAGTCCAGAAAATGGCATAGTCCAGTGGGACTTCTTACATGAAGACTCCTAAGCTTCATGGGAGAAATGTTAGGGACCCTGGGATTGATATTTGAGCCCAGGAAAAAGGAAATTAAGGATACCAAGAAAGCCATAGTGAAAAATATCTGGTCCCAAATTCCAGAAGGTATGGACCAAATGATCTATAACTGCTCAGCCTGAGAGGAGAAAGAGTTGAAGTACTCAGACTTACCTTAGGGCAATGATTTTTAATTTCTAGAGGAAGCCTCTGTATAGAATTAGATACTTTGAGATACAAATGACAGAAAATCCTACTTGAACAGTCTTAAACAATACGTACATTAACCATCTCCCCTAATAAGAAGACCTGGGCTCCAATCTTTAGATTCTCTGTGATTCTCTTAGCTCACATCACACCCACTGTTTCCTGGATTCCACATTCCCTCCTTCCTGATTTTTCTCTCAATTTGTTGGGCTAAATAACTTAGGGAGGGTTCAAAAGAGGTAGATTTTCTAAGTTCTTGAACGTCTAGATAGACCCTTGTTTTACCCTCACAAGTGATTGAGAGTTGGCTAGGTCCAGATTAAAACCTAGGTTGAAAAATGTTCTTCCTCAAAATATTGAAGTCATTGCTCTATTGCTTGTTGGCATACAATGATGCTGCTGAGAAACCTAAAGCCAGTCTAATTCTTTTCCCTTGTGTATAATCTGTTGTTTCCTGCATTGACTTTTAAGGTCTTCCTTTTAACCTTAATCTTCTGAAATTTTGCATGTATGTATCTTAAGTTTGGACTTAGCCAAACCTCATTGATCCCTTTCAGTCTGAAAATTCAGGCTTTAGCTCTGTGAACTTTTTTTCTAGTACATCTTTGATCATTCTCTCTCTACAGTTTTCTATATTATCTCTTCTTGAAACTCTTTTTAGTGCTTAGAGCTTTTGGATCAATTCCTCATGTCTCTTATACCTTCTCAAGTTTTCTTTTTCTCTCCCTAATTGTTCGAGATTATAGGAGATTTCTTCAACTATCATCCCACCCTCCTACTGATTTTTTAAAATTAAATCTTGTCAGTTGTATTAGTTGGGACATTACCTGCTGCTGTAATAAATAAACCCCCAAGTTTGAATGGCTTCCCACAATTTACTTCATGCCCATGAAACTCTTTAAACCCAGGTGTCCCTGTTCATCAGGTAGCCCCTTCCCACAGGAAGATTCAAGGATCCTGAATCCTTCCATACTGTGGTTCTTCCATCACCCAATCCCCTGATTACAGAAGAAAGAGGGAAAGGAAGTAAAGTTGATTCTCAACAGCTTTGAGACATGCAACATGCAAATGTCACACAACACTTCTGCTCACATTCCCTTAGTGAAAATGGTCATTTGGTCTCACCTAGATGCAACCTGGGGGTTAGTGGGGGTGGTACTATAAAACATAGTTCCTGGTTCAACAACTGCTTCTCTCAACAACTATATATTTTGGAAGGAGGAACACAAATTTTGTACTTAGTTGATGACCACTACCGGTCTTGGTTTTTTATTCCCATGAGATCAATCATATCCCCTAATTGCTCCTTTCACAGAGCATACTTTTCTCTTTTGTCCATGAGCAATCACTCTCTCCTTTGGGATCAGCTATTCTTTATTATCTTGGCCATTATCATTCATGCTCTTGTTTCCTTCATTTCTGGCGATCTTTGTGTATTTCTTACATCGAGAAATTGAGGGGTTGGCTGATTATTCTGAGTGGATGGAATGGATTTCATTTACTGCGAGCTTGTAGGCATGTTCTCCCAACAGGCCTCTTTCCGGAGGGGAAGGCAGATGTCTTTGTACTTGGGTGGGCTCCTTCCCCAGCAGTTTCCCTCCAGGCTATGCGGAATGAGAATGGGAAAGTCGGTAACCCATAGACCATGAGCTCTGCAGGTGCCAGTGTAAGAAAACTCTACTCTGGGCCACCACTCGCAACCAAGAAGGCTTGGTTGCCCCAGAACGTTCAGTTTTAGAGAAGGGCTTCTAGGTTATTCCCTAGAGAGTAATACCAGTATTCCTGCCATTTTGTGAACAGGAAAGGAGAGGGGAGGGTGAGTGCACCTGGCACAGCTTTCCACAGATACATCTTGGATGAATCTTCCTGTTTGCAATTACTCTGCCCCCTTCTACCCTCCTTACCTACAAAGAGCAAGCTGCGAGTGTGCCCAGGTTCTAACCGGCAAGCCAGTCTCACCTGCACTGCAGCCTCATCTAGCACATGATCAAGCTGAACAGCTTCTCCCACTGTTTCATCTGTCAACATTCGTCCATCCATCCTGTCTGATGGGCTGAAATCCCTCAGCGGGTGAACTTACCTCCCCTTACTTTTGCTATTGGGTGCTCATTGATTTGTAGACTTTCAAGCTATAATTTTGATGTGATCCTATGAGGGAAAAGGTCTCAGTTTGCTGTCTCAAGCAAGATTGGAAAAATACTCGTAAACGTCCTCTGGAGAACATGCACCAAGTTTCATGAGAAAAGAGAGCTATAAAAAAAATTGAAGCAGTGGCTGGTAGGGTTCTAAGAGAACCTTGATCAGCTGTCGGAGAAAATTACCTCTCCGTTTACATGGCCTGACTCAATGGTTTCTTTATTCATTCCTTTTTTTTTTTCAATTCACTGAGAGCTTTTTCTACACCACAGCCTGTGCCACGTAGCAGGGCAGTCCACGAACAACATGGTCTCCCAGTCCCTGTCTTCAGGGAACTTAGAATTTATGGGTGGAACTCGTTTTTGAAACTGGAAATTTGAGGTTTTTTTTACTATTACAAGAATTTCAGGACGCAATGGAAGCACATTAAAAAGACACCGAAACCAGACTTTATATGTCATGAAAGGACTACTGGATGGAGTCCCCTGAGAAATGAGATTGCAGGAGCCAAGTCAAGGGCTGGGCTGTAGAGAGACGAGTACTCCAAATACAGGAAACAGCATGTTGGAGTCTCAGCAGTGGCTCTCACTGCTTATATAAATAGCTTCATATTATGTCTACTGACTTATGCTTGCAATGTCCTTCCATCTACCCCTCCAAGTCCCCCAACAGTGGCAAAATTCTCAACTCAGACACTCATTCACTCTTTGCAGAGCTCATAGAAACTTCCCCACAGATCTAGGCATTTTCCTCCATTTGTCCTTTATAGCTTATATGTTCCATAATTATAGCGATGGGCACGTTCTATAAAATGTTTGCCTCCCTCCTTGCATCTACCACCAGTCTAAAATCCCTGAGGCCAGGGATGGGGTTTTATTTACATTTGTACTACCTGCACTGTAACTGGCAAGTGTTAGGTATACAGTTAATATATGCTGAATGTTGAATGATGAATGCATGAATGAAGTGGCAGAATTGTGACAATATATGGGTTGCCTCTGGTTGTGCCCAAGCTTGAGGTGACTTGGTAAACGAAAGTTGGAAGTTGAATGAAGAATGCACATAATCACTTTTATGGGACTTTGGTCCAGCACTTATAAAAGATAAGGGTGTAGAGAACTTCTCCTAAACTGCGGGTACCTACAATAATACAAGCATAGAAAAACTCTGAGATTATGAATTATCAGGAATCAGGCAAGTCTTTCCTGGGATAACTATCGTAGTGCCAGCTTTAAATCACCTGTTTACCTTACCCCTGCAGGTTAAGTGGACATCTGAGAAAGGATAGATTCCCACTGGATGCATATAAGTCCCATGCCAATTATGTAAATTTGCGCTAGATGGACAGGGAGGCAAGAGAATGAGAATTGGGATTGCTCCGATCAACTGAGACTAAATTATAGGTTCTTCTCACTGTATATCAGTGAGTTCATAAAAAATCATTTTGTTCATAAAGAGTGCCTTTGCTACAATGGATATGCATGATGTTAGGACAATGCATGTCAGATGGAGCCTTGGCATAAGTGCAGGAAGAGGTAAGATCACCTGCGGGAGAGCAATAGGTAAGAGCCCCTGCTCATATCACACTAGCACCAAAGGAAGACTGCATATTGACAGGGAAGTGTGAGAACATTGCCTTCTGGGTATTTAAGAAAGCACAAGCATAGCCAAAGCAATAAGCAACAGAGCTCGAAAAGTAGCACAGGGGGCACCTGGGTGGCTCAGTCGGTTAAGCACCCTACTCTTAATTTCAGCTCAGGTTATGATCTTATGTTCTGAGATCGAGCCCCACGTCTGGCTCTGCACTCAGTGCAGAGTCTGCTTGAGACTCTCTCTCTCTCTCCCTGTTCTTCTGCCCCTCCCCCTGCTCATGCTTTCTCTAAAATAAATTCTTTTTAAAAAATCTTTAAAAAGTAACACAGAGGGTGCCTGCGTGGCTCAGTCGGTTAAGCATCTGCCTTCGGCTCAGGTTTTGATCCCAGGGTTCTGGGATCGGGTCCCATGTCGGGCTTCCTGCTCAGCAGGGAGTCCGCTTCTCCCTCTACCCTTCCCTCCTGCTCCTGCTTTCTCTCTCTGTCTTGAATAAATAAATAAAATCTTTAAAAAAATAAATAAAAATAAAAAGTAACACAGAGCTGAAGGACAACCAAGTGAAGAGGGCTGGATCTGTAAACGACTTAATAGACTCCAGGCAACCCTGCCCTCCTGTCCCAATCCTTGCTTCATAATTATTGCTCACTTGTTCAGTATTCAAACCTGTATCCTGAACACACACAAAAAATCTGAGAACCACTGAATTCAACTCTAACTAGTCTAATATTTTCAGTTTTCTGTTAATTATTAATTTGGGTGGATATGATGACTCTTTAAATTTCTAACCCTTTATTTAATCTCCACCACTGCATGATTATTAAACTTCTACAGTTGAAAATACATCCTAGTGTGCTTGGAACACTCTGTTTACATCAGTTTACATCATCCCAGAGCCTGCACAGTTTAGCATATATCCTAGATTTTTCATTTTTTAACAAAGCATTAAGATAAACTCAGATGAGTTCCGTCATTTCTACTTTGTACCTCTAGCTTCTGCCAGGGTCTCTTCTAACAGTATGTAGTTAGTATGTAGCACGTAGAATTCTCAGTAACATATTGTGAAATCTGAAAGATGACCTGCTTTTCCTTTCCCTTTCCAGACATATGCTACTAACCCCTTCCGTTCGGGGACAGCATGCACTCACTGATGAAAAGAAGTGGGTTCAGGTGAGGGGTAGCTAGGGTCAGCTAAACTCCTCTGCTCCCGCCGTGATGGGCCAAGTGTTCAGCGTTGCTGCCCCTGGTGGCCACTCCGTGTAACAGCAGCCATTTGTGCTCGGGCCGATAGGATGGATGATCAACAGCACAGCCTGTGAATCGCTTGAAGCTATGTACTACCTGTCAGTGGGTCAGAAGGAATCGTCAGGAATTATAGGTTTGGAATATGTGAAATATGTGCAGGATATGTAGACTCGACAGTCCTACCATAAATCATAGAGAGGATAGTCTGAGTACTTTTATTCAGTGGTTTTTATTATTTATCATACGATATAAATCTACAATTACGTATTTATTTTAGTAAGGTTTTGTTTTATTTGGCCTTTTCAAGGCAATGACCTCAAAAAGTGTACATTTAGTGAAATATTAAATACTGAATTACAAAAATGTAATCCAACTTGGTGATGAAGATGTAAACTGCACAAAATTTGGGTTGACTTTTGCCATCTACCTGAAGACACAGATATCCTGAAGACACAGCAGCATCTACTTCAAAAAAGATGTCAGTGTAACACACATAGCTGCAGAAAGTTCATTTACAACACTGGAAAACATGACTTTTCATTTGGATCAAATGAGTATTTTTCTAAATTAATTTCACTCTTGATTCCAAGTTCTTCTTGTCAATGTGTGAAAGTGGAATGATAGCTATTAAAAGTATTGGCTCCATTAGCTAGAGAACTTCACTGAGAAATTATGTCAGTTTTACACTAGTGTCATAAGGTTCTTCAAATAGAAAGTCAGTTTATTTCAATAATGTCTTTCAAATCCAATTCATGAAATCAAAGTAAAACTTTCAGAAGTTCATTCTGTCTTGGTAAAATACTTAACAGCATTGTAAATGCTATTATAAATCTGGATAAAACGCTCAACCTTGAAGATAAAGTTACTTGCATTTACAATGACAGTATGATATAAATTTTAGTAGAGACCAATATCAATGTTAAAAAAAATTGTTCTAATTACATTGAGAAACCTGTGGAGCAGAAGTCTAGTTGGAATTGGTTGTAGTGCACATATTATTCATGAGTGTGTCCAAACAAACTTTACTATTCCTCTGTCAAAATAGAAGCTGTATTCAAAGCCAGCTAAATTATAAACTTCTGTGACAAAATTCATGCTGAATTTCTTTAAAAAATGTTTCAGTATGGCAGGGCATGCTTTTCTCTTTGCTGTCTGTCATTATCAGATTTTAGAAATGTTTTAATTTTTAAAGAACATTTTGTAGATCAATCCAAGGGTCCAACAATGGCATTGAAACTTATTGTAAAGCAGTCCTCTAAATTGAGTTGCATTTTGTTTTAAAGAAATGCAAATCTTTAATCAAAATTTTCAGCTGATGGAACACCAAACTTCAGCTTTTGAAATACATAAGAAATTCTAATAATTGAAAGAAAATCTTGAAACCAGAAAGATGATAAAATGTAATCCCATAAAAGCAAAGGAAAAAAAATAAATAAATGATAGGACATGAAAAGTATAAAGCATTTAATTTTGAAATTCTATAATTATACTTTGGAACATCTTTACCTCTGGGGAAAATCTTCTAGTTGAGATTCCTTGTGTTTTGTTTTTATTATTGTTTTTTTCTAATAACTTACATTCTGTGCTAGAATGGAACTATAGGGAGATAGCCCTCAAATGTTGTAGATCATTTATTGATAGGTTTTATAAAAATATTTTTAAGAAATGGAGGCAAAAAAACAGTACATATGAAAATATTTGACATAAAATATACATTTGCATATTAAAAATGGAATTAAGAATATCTTCCATTCTGAGGCACCTGGGTGGCTCAGTTGGTTAAGCATCTGCCTTTGGCTCCAGGGTCCTGGGATCAAGCCCCGCATCAGGTTCCCTGCTAGGAAGGGAGTCTGCTTCTCTCTCTCTCCCACTCCCACTGTATGTTCCATCTCTGTCTCGCAAATAAATAAATAAATCTTTAAAAAAAAAAGAATATCTCCCATTTTAAGAAAAAGCCTAGCAACCTGATTTTTTTTAAAAAAAAATTTTGTTTATTTGAAAGACAGAGAGATCATGAGCAGGGGGGAGGAGTAGAGGGAGAAGCAGACTCCCTGCTGAGCAGGGAGCCCGATGTAGGGCTGGATCACAAGACTCTGGGATCATGACCTGAGCCCAAACCACTGAGCCACACAGGCGCCTTCTAGCAACCTGATTTAAAAAGATGTAGAAGATATGAACAAAACGATCACAGAAATGGAGATATATGTTAATTTTAAATATATGAAATGATGCTTATGGTTATTCATAATAGAAGAAATGCAAAGTACAACTACATTAAGATAGCTTTTTTTTTAACCTAACAGATGAGCAAAGATCAAAAAGTTTACTCACATACTGTGTTGGCAATGCTCTCATGCCTTGCTGGTCAGAGTGTAACCCTATAGAACTGCTTGTAAGGGTGATTTGGCAGCATTTATCAAACTTAAACACACACACACACACACACACAAACTTCCATCTAACAGAATTTACTCAGAGCTTACCAAATACCTCAATATCTGAGGTGTTTTCTCAACTAAAAATAGTACTGTCTACAGAGAAGTCAATTGAAGCTATCAACAATTCTAAATTTATCACCATAAAATGTAGCTTTTAAGGAGACCACAATCAATCCTATGAAAAGAATTGGTTAGTAAGTCATATTTAAAATTTTATTCTTCAGAAAAATATCCATGTATTAGAGACTGACATAGCCAAAAACTAAAATATGTAAATATATACCAAGAATAACTATTTATTTATGTTATTTCTAATGATTATATAATCAATATGAAGAAATGTTATTTTACTTTAACATATGTGATGTATGTTACTCTTTTTTTAAAAAAAGTTTATTTATTCATTTGAAAGAGAGACAGAGACAGAGAGAGAACTGGCAGGGAGGGGGAGAGAGGGAGAAGCAGGTTCCCCACTGAGCAGGGAGCCCGAGGCAGGACTCGATCCCAGGACCCCAAAATCAGGACCTGAGTCGAAGGCAGAGGCTTAACCGAGCCACCCAGGTGCCCATGATATATGTTACTCTTACTTTTTAGAAATCCTTCTAGTTTTGAAGGTAATTTTTGAGTGGGGTTAATTCATATGTTTATCTGTATAATAAACACATTTACAATCTAATAAATACATATTTCCAAAAGTTATAGAATCCTAAGTGCTTTCATACTTTCACTCTTCTGATTATGCACTTACCTCAGGGACAAGTCTTGCTTTCCAGGGACTAAGTGGTAGCCGATTTCTTTCTCAATATAGCAGAGAAAGCCTTTATCCCAGGGCCCCTGCCCAGTGGTTGTATTGTTGGAAACAGTCTTGATTTAGGGACCTCCAGGAAAATAAGAGACGCTAGTTTCAGGATCGTCCTAAATTTCAGAACTTGAACGCACAAAAACATATACATTTCAAGCAGGAAATAAACTAAAAAGAAGATGCAACTCAGACCCATCCTGTCTGCCCCTCTTGTTCTTGTATCTACCTGATGCGCCAGAAGAATAATCCTCAACTCTTTTTCCAAATGAGACATCTTAGAAACTAGAGGGAGAGTACTTTCTTCATCAAGGGATTTCAGTAGCAAATGTAATTTTATGGAGAGACTCTAGATCTTCACTCTGAGAGTAAGTGCCCACTTCTTAAAATGTACATTCTGTAAGCACGCAGATTTTTGCAAAAATGAATATTTTTATGTTTATTGTTTTTGAATTTTAATTGCAGTGTAGTGAACCTACAGTGTTATATGAGTTTCAGGTGTACAATATAGCGATTCAACAGTTCCATATGCTACTCAGTGCTCATCAAGATAAGTGCACTCTTAATCCCCTTCACCTATAAATAGTCATCTGTAAACTATAGAAATGTTTCTCGGTATCTCTAAATATGGTTTTTAAATCAAATATGGTTAGAAAATTGGTATCCAACCGCATGATAAACTTTTACGAAAATCCTTCTTTTTCTGTAGATGGACAAGGAAACAGGCAAGATAGAACGTGTTGGATTGGCTCAAGTGAGGAGAGCATCTTGATTGGGACCTCTAAAATGATACCCAAAAGATAACGTTTAAAGTTTCTATTAAATTTGGAAATAATAGCTTTTTTAACATGTTTGTAAAATTTAGCAGTGCATGTAAAAATGATGGGCTTAACATTTTCAACTCTTTTTTATTTGGGATCTTTAACAGTGAGATTGCATTTTTAAACAGACTGTTTTTAGATTTTTCTCTCCATTGTGGCATATCCTGTCTGTCCATTTTTAACAGGCCTGCCCTCTCCGCAAACATGTGGGTTTCTGAATCTGGACTTGATTGCATGTTAATAAATCACCAGAAAGGACAAGCATTTTCAAGAGCTAGTAGAGGGTCTAAAAGTTGATTCTTCCACTTTCTGAATAAAGTTGAGTTCTTTGTCTTCTCTGACAAACGTGTAGACAGGGGGAGGAGCAACTGTGGATAGCAAAGCTTTAGGTCCCTGGGAAAACAATGGTCCCTCCACAGCGATCAGTGTTGTCTACAAGGCAATCTCTCAGTAAGGAGAAATTAATACGAAGAGCCAACTGCACCAAATGATTTACAGACCTAATTTTACTAATTCCTATTGAAAGTACTCATTTTAAAAATGAGAAAATTTCAGCTTAGCTAACCTAAACTCTCAAGTGGCAGAGTCAGGAGGCAAAAGCAAATGCACGTGATCCCAAGACCTCCTTATTCTGTGACACATCCATCATTCAGTTCTCAACTGGAATGATAATGGGGTGCAGTGGAAAAGGGGGAAAGAGGCTATACATTTGACAGCCTTCAGGAGATTCAGCTGCCCACCTTCACCAGCCGGTAATGTGAGCTCAGGGTGAGGCTATGTCTGGATTATTCACCACTAGATACCACACACTTCATTCTATACACGTGGCCTGTAGGGGCCAAGGATATTTACAGGGACTCAAGAATTTTGGTTAAACGTTGAATTCATGAGTAAAATTTTAGTTGGTGAGGGGAATGGAGAGAAAGATTGAACCTGGATATTTTGACCCTATTGGCTAGTAATCAAGTTAATGTTTCCAGGGTTTTCTTTTCTCTCTCTCTCTCTCTCTCTTTTTTTTTTTTTTAATCTTTCTTATCCAATTCATCCATTTATTAAATAGATATTTATTTTTTGAGCTCGAGGCGTTCAGGCTGTGTCAGGGAACATGCTCTTGTCCTCAGGAAGCTGACATTCGGGTAATCGAGGAATTTCACTCTCAAGTTTGAGTCCTCACTGCTGCCTATGAAGTGGGTGAGGTGGGTGTCACGTGTTATCTGCTAGCTCCCTAAAATATCGCAAAAATGTCTAATCTGTGCAGTTTCATCCGGCCAACTACATCAATGACAGAAATCATATACCCATCTGAACATTTATTTTTAAATTCCAGATTCCCTTCTGTTCTCGCCATAATGTGATAATTTAGTATTATTTTATCTATTTTTCTAACAGTAACACACACCCATAGAGACCCACACACCCCACCTCCCTACCCCATCTCCTCGCACACCACCACCACCACCCCTCCCCGGTAGTCTTATCACTAAGGTATGTGTTATGTGCTTATCATGTCCTGCACACCTTGGCCTCCCTTTATCTTATTTCAGATCTTGCTGTCTTCAATTTACAGATGAGAAAATCGTGATTCGAGAGATGATTTTACCCAAGATCACAGGGCTAGTTACTAGCCCCGTTCATTTGCTGGTGCAAACCTGGCTCGGTCCTGTCTTTTTTCTCTCCGTATCGTGGCTCTAGTAGAATTTCCCTGACTCCTTTCTCTTTGCTCTTAAGCCATCCTCCACAGCTCACCAAAGTCAGAGTTGCATTAACACAGGTTGGATCCTCTAGCTACTTTACAAAGTATTAATGGACTGCTTTGGCTTTTAGGATAAAATGTGCAACCCAGTGTGGAAAACAGGCTCCTTCTGGACTGTCCCCAGACTCTTTTGCCGCACTCCCCCAGACTGCATTGCCACCAAGCATTTATTCCCAGAACATAGCAGGATCTTTCATGGCTGGCGGTCCATATACTTCATCTCTGCCCTACTCTCTTTCTTTCTGTGGCAAAACCTCCGTCTTCCTTTCAGCCCCTCCCCAAAGGGTGCCTCCTTTAGGAAGCCTTCCCTGGCTTCAGAGAGACTTAGTCCCTCCTCCTGGGATCCATGACACCCTGTAGTAATCAGAGTCACTTCTCACCTGGGCTTGTTTACTTGTTATCACCTTTGTTTACTTGTCTTCTCTCCTCTTTGCCCCCCACGCCCAACTATACTATGGAGTCAGGTTCTCCATCCCCTGTCTCCCCGGAGCATTGCACTGGGCCTGTCACCTAGTGCGGTCCAAGAATTCTCAACGAACAAGAAATGACTGCCTTCTCCTTCCCGTGCCTTCCCTCACAAGCGCAAAGCCAACAAGGCAGGAAGAGAAACCGAGCTGAAGCCTGGCCACAAGGGCTCCGCGCAACTTGAAACTCCAAGGTGGCAGCCACAGCCAGCCCATTGTGATATTACCCAGTACAAATGTCATTTTTCGGATTGTCTTGTTGGGACCTGATAATGCAATAATTTGATGAACTGATTTTATAATGTAAAACAGTCTAACTATGAATAGGCCACTCTCAGAGATTAAACAAAAATGAGAGTGTGTGCATAATCAGTGTGTAAATGCAAGCAGGGTATTAAGCATTCCTTTTATTCTTAAAGAGCTGAAATGAGGAGAGCTCTCCTCCCCAAAGCAATCTGTCTCTCCCTCTCCCTCTCCCTCTCTCTCTCTTTCTTTCTCTAATAAGCTTTGAGCAATTTGGAGGAAAGGTGTGATATTGCTCTCGCAGATAAATAATAACCCAAAAAATCATAATGTTGGTGTGATTAGACCTCACTGACTAAAGGGAATTAAAGGTAGATTCTTTTTTATTAGTTTACTGATCCTGGGCACCCGACTCCTCATAACTGCTCACTATATCATGCTAGTTAATCATTCTTGTCGTTATTTTAATGTCTTATTAGAGGGCCTCATTCATCTGGTTTTTAATCTGTTTCATTGGAAGCAGTTTTAATCTCATTTCAGCAGCGCTGATAAGCCTGTTAGTTTGCACAAATTGGTTTTGGTGACAATGTGAAGATAGCAATAATGTGTGATTTCCAAATGGAAAAGAGAAATCTATACTGGCCCAAAAAGGCAGTGGGTGAGAGCAGAGGAGCTGGGGACAGGTGAAAACGGTGGTCTCAGTTTCCTAAAGGATAAATGGAGAAGATAAAAAATAGGGTGGGAGCAAGAGAGGAAATGAAACCATTAACTCAGGTGAGTTGTTGCAAGCCCCTGGCCAGCCCCACGAGGCAGGAACGCTAACGGCGATGCCCCCGTCCCACCACTAGATGGCCTAATTGAATCAACACTATCCCAAGGCAGCATGGGAAGGAGACAAGTGTGTTTAGGGGTAGAGGACTCACATCGTGTGCTCTGCTCCCGACACCGGGGTACCCGATTCTCAGAATCCACTGAGTCTGTTCCCAATACAACCAGAAATCTTCCTTCGCAGACCTTCTCGGAGTTTCCCTCCTGCTCTAGAGTACTTAATGTCAGGCTGTCTTGGTGCGATCTATCCAGCTAATGGAGCAGCATTGATCACTTCCAACGGCCTTAGATTGGCCTGACTCTGGGCTTCTTGGAATAAAGGAGACAATAAGCCCATCAGGCTCAGTGACTCAAAATTGCATTAAGTGTAGATGTTAAAGTAAATACAGTTTCCGTAGGTTCCCGGTTTTAGTCTCATGGGGGAAGGGGGAGAATCAATAACCTGCTGATCTGAGCAGCAAAGCTGGGGATGAATATACGACTTAAGAAAGCAGCCTCTTGAAATTCCTGACTCCTGCACTTCTCAGGGTCCTGGTATTAAAGCCGGGAAATGAGGCTTGTCTTTTATAGCTTCGGCCCCTTTCTTGGGAGCATTGTTCTAGGGGCGGCTGTCTGGAAATATTTAAAACTGAAATCACTCTTCTAATGGACTAAACTCCATCTGATTTATACTTCACACACAAAAATAATAGCAATAAGGAAAAGAAGCATTTCAAGAGAAATGTTGTCTCATAATAGGCTTCAAAATCATTTGTCTCAGAGGCCAACAAATACCCGCTGAATAGAGGCAGTCAATTATCTGGTGGTGTTTGGGGTGGGAGGGTGCTAATAATATTCCAAATTCCCCAACTGCCAAAACACTTTGCAGTTCCATTTTCAGCCCCTCTGCTTCTCTAGGAACATTCGTTTGGTGTTTGTCTGCTTCTTTCTCACAACTCCAAATGTTGATATAAAGTCTGCTGGTGAAATT